ATGTCATACATTCTGGATTCAGTTACAAATCGAACTGAAATATTTGCGCAAGCCTTTTTATTATTTTAATATTGACTGATTATTCTGGCATACAGCTTAACGAAAACTCAAATATCCTATGCTCTAAATATAGAATATCATGAAAGAAGTCATACTAGTAGGGTGTTCAGACACAATCACTTGAATCGTCTAATTAACCTCGAAACCACTGCAAGGGTTTCCGAGCCTTGAAAAACAGCTCAGCTTGTCTCAGTAAACTAAAATCACAAGTATGGGGAAGACTGCTGATCTGACTGCTTCCAGAGGGACCCGTCAGTTGACACGCTGCCATCAGGGAGGTAAGACACAAAAATAAATTCTTCAAAGAGCAAAGCTTGTTCACAGAGGTGCCGTTTCAAACACGCAACATCCACAAAAAGTCTGTTTGGGGGAAATGCGCCATGAGCACACCGCTGACGCAAAGAGGCCCACAAGTCGGAGGAGATCAAGTGGTGTGGCCTTCTCTTCACCAGAAGTTTTTCTGGAACTCAGGGAGAGAGACAGGTGAAAGAAAAATGTCTATCTTACCAGAACCGAATTTACTCTGTCCTTGTGACGTTGTATGTGTACATACTGGCCACTGTCTGTTTGCCTCTCCACTGTTAACGCCTTCTTTACAGCGCTTCTAAGTATTTGTTTGTGTGTTCTGGTCTAGATCCTGTTTCAGGTATTGACCTGGAGAACATCGTTTACTACAGAGACCACAGCCACATACTTTGTCAGTGACGGGACAAAAGCAGAGTGCTTCTTGGACAAAGAGCGGCGCGGTCCATCATAAATGTAGAGCTTACCACTAGGGATGCTCAGATCGATCGCCGCCAATCAGGATACCCGGACCCCGACATTCTATACTTCCTCTGGACCAGATCGATCGGTGCTCTAAACGATCCAACCGATCACATGACGTAAATACCACATTTTTTCTGTGTGCGGCAGAAACAGCTCACCCAAAAATGGCTTCAGCCGGTCTGGCAGTATTTGAA